TGGTGTTCAAAAAAGCTTCTTTGTCTAATTGATTAATTTAATTCATAATCTTGTATGTCGCTGCTATGTCCTCCCTAATCCTCCTCTCCTCCAGTGTGGTGGAGTTTAGTTCATATCCTTGTAGTTCAGAGGCAGGATTTATTAGTATTTGCGCAGCCTCTTGCGAAACCTGTACATCTTTCCTCAATCATGGCGGCTTTGTTTACGATTAATGAGCAGTCTAAGAGCTCAGAAGCGTTACGAGGTTGTTAATAACAATAATGTTCTTGTTCCTGTCGAACCCTAGAGGACAGGATGGACCCCAACACCGACAGGATGGACCCCAACACCGACAGGATGGACCCCAACACCGACAGGATGGACCCCAACACCGACAGGATGGACCCCAACACCGACAGGATGGACCCCAACACCGACAGGATGGACCCCAACACCGACAAGATGGACCCCCAACTTGTCCTGCCAACGATGGCCCAGGGAGCTTGGCCCTGGCCCCCTGGGCCCTCAGCACAGGGACCAGCCCAGTTATATGTCTGGAAATCTTTTCTAGTTTCGTCTTAGCCTTTTGTTACATGCCGGCGATGCATACTTTAGAATGGGTCTCACGCAGGTTGTATATAAAATCCGGAATAACGGCTTTGTCTAAATTTGTTAAGCTTACCCTGACGTTGGCTGGTTCATCATCCAGAGCTGGTTATGTCTCCGCTCCTGATACAAGAATGTCTTCCCTTTATCTTAAACTGTTGTCTAGGTCTCCTCACATTCGTTCCTTTTCTCATAACATTGTATTTGCCGGGTTAAAGTCTAGCAACCATTTTTCAGACTGCTTTTGGAATGTGTCAAGACCCTTCTGGAGGGCCGCAGAGCCGCCCTCCGCCTCCACTCATCTCATTAATTTTGCTTCATAATGTTCAAACATTGACCTGAAACACCCAATATCATGTTACATTGTTGACAGGATGGACCCCAGCACCGACAGGATGGACCCCAACACCGACGGGATGGACCCCAATACCGACAGGATGGACCCCAACACCGACAAAATGGACCCCAACACCGACAGGATGGACCCCAGCACCGACAAGATGGACCCCAACACCGACAGGATGGACCCCAACACCGACAGGATGAACACCGACAGGATGGAGTCCAACACCGACAGGATGGACCCCAGCACAAACAGGATGGACCCCAACACCGACAGGATGAACCCCAACACCGACAGGATGGACCCAACACCGACAAGATGGAATCCAACACCGACAGGATGGACCCCAACACCGACAGGATGGACCCCAACACCGACAGGATGGACCCCAACACCGACAGGATGGACTCCAACACCGACAGGATGGACCCCAACACCGACAGGCTGGAATCCAACACCGACAGGATGGAATCCAACACCGACAGGATGGACCCCAACACCGACAGGATGTACCCCAACACCGACAGAATGGACCCCAACACCGACCAGATGGACCCCAACACCGACAGGATGGACCCCAACACCGACAGGACGGACCCCAACACCGACAGGATGGACCCCAACACCGACAGGATGGAATCCAACACCGACAGGATGGACCCCAACACCGAAAGGATGGACCCCAACACCGACAGGATGGACCCCAACACCGACAGGATGGACCCCAACACCGACAGGATTTTACGGGCTAGTCATGCCAGTGCCACCTCTTCGGTGGCTTAATCTTCATCATCACTGACAGGATGGACCCCAACACCGACAGGATGGACCCCAACACCGACAGGATGGACCCCAACACCGACAGGATGGACCCCAACACCGACAGGATGGACCCCAACACCGACAGGATGGACCCCAACACCGACAGGATGGACCCCAACACCGACAGGATGGACCCCAACACCGACAGGATGGACCCAAACTCCGACAAGATGGACCCCAGCACCGACAAGGATGGACCCCAGCACCGACAGGATGGACCCCAGTACCGATGGACCCCAACACCGACAGGATGGACCCCAGTACCGACAGGATGGACCCCAGTACCGATGGACCCCAGCACCGACAGGATGGACCCCAGTACCGATGGACCCCAGCACCGACAGGATGGACCCCAGTACCGATGGACCCCAGCACCGACAGGATGGACCCCAGTACCGATGGACCCCAACACCGACAGGATGGACCCCAGTACCGATGGACCCCAACACCGACAGGATGGACCCCAGTACCGATGGACCCCAGCACCGACAGGATGGACCCCAGTACCGATGGACCCCAACACCGACAGGATGGACCCCAACACCGACAGGATGGACCCCAGTACCGATGGACCCCAGCACCGACAGGATGGACCCCAGTACCGATGGACCCCAGTACCGATGGACCCCAGCACCGACAGGATGGACCCCAGTACCGATGGACCCCAACACCGACTGGATGGACACCAGTACCGATGGACCCCAGCACCGACAGGATGGACCCCAGTACCGATGGACCCCAACACCGACAGGATGGACACCAGTACCGATGGACCCCAGCACCGACAGGATGGACCCCAGTACCGATGGACCCCAACACCGACAGGATGGACACCAGTACCGATGGACCCCAGCACCGACAGGATGGACCCCAGTACCGATGGACCCCAACACCGACAGGATGGACACCAGTACCGATGGACCCCAGCACCGACAGGATGGACCCCAGTACCGATGAACCCCAACACCGACAGGATGGACACCAGTACCGATGGACCCCAGCACCGACAGGATGGACCCCAGTACCGATGGACCCCAGCACCGACAGGATGGACACCAGTACCGATGGACCCCAGCACCGACAGGATGGACCCCAGTACCGATGGACCCCAGCACCGACAGGATGGACCCCAGTACCGATGAACCCCAACACCGACAGGATGGACACCAGTACCGATGGACCCCAGCACCGACAGGATGGACCCCAGTACCGATGGACCCCAGCACCGACAGGATGGACCCCAGTACCGACAGGATGGACCCCAGTACCGACAGGATGGACCCCAGTACCGATGGACCCCAGCACCGACAGGATGGACCCCAGTACCGATGAACCCCAACACCGACAGGATGGACACCAGTACCGATGGACCCCAGCACCGACAGGATGGACCCCAGTACCGATGGACCCCAGCACCGACAGGATGGACCCCAGTACCGATGGACCCCAACACCGACAGGATGGACCCCAGTACCGATGGACCCCAACACCGACAGGATGGACCCCAGTACCGATGGACCCCAACACCGACAGGATGGACCCCAGCACCGACAGGATGGACCCCAGCACCGACAGGATGGACCCCAGTACCGACAGGATGGACCCCAGTACCGACAGGATGGACCCCAGTACCGATGGACCCCAACACCGACAGGATGGACCCCAGTACCGATGGACCCCAGTACCGATGGACCCCAGTACCGATGGACCCCAGTACCGATGGACCCCAGTACCGATGGACCCCCAGTAATACACACATATATTATACTGGAGCTCCGTTGGCAGCGGTTTTGGCCACGGAGCGCTTCATCATCACTCATGTATATAAAACTGGAGGCCAAATATTTCCCAAATCAAATAAGACTGAGGGATTGGTAAGAGTGGAGCTCATGGTGTGGCTAGAATGGGTGGAGCCCCGCGGCGGACTCGTCCTCATGAACACTCACAACTTCTCTAACTCATCTGGCTCAAGGCTAGTCATTTTCACCACCACAAAGCCTATAAAAAACACGACGTATTAGTGCAAATTAAAGGTTTTTGTGCTTTTGGTTGTCAAGTCACATTAAATTTGACGCTTGTCAAATTGTAAGAACGTGCTAACTTTAGCCACTTCGTAAGATCATAAGTATTAAAAAATGCTACAGAAAGCCTATTGGCTCATACGAGGCAACTTCTGTTTCTCTCCAGCCAGACTCGTTCATATATACGTCTAGCCTACGCTTGAAACAATCTGTCGACGCCACGTCTATTATGTTACCCGACAATTTGTTCCATAAATCAAGAACACTGTTTCCAAACCTGTACTTACCCGCCCAACTATGTCGTTAGTTGTTCGTGGCCCTGTAGCTCTTGCCACGGTCCCCACACCTGACTGGTGGGAGGGTTGGAGGGTTGGAGGGAATTATCACGGGAAAGTGCCAAGCCATTACGACTATATAGCACTTGGAAGGGGATCAGGATAAGGATTTGGGATGGGACGGCGGAAAGGAATGGTGCCCAACCACTTGGACGGTCGGGGATTGAACACCGACCTGCATGAAGCAAGACCGTCGCTCTACCAAAAGGGTAATATTAATAATTCTAACACGAATCTTCTCAATATTTCTTATGTTTTTCTTCACTGTCGAAGGAAGTTGAGAAATTAACCCTGCAAAGTTCATTTTCACACTTTACTGTGGTCTGACGCCGAAGGATGCGTTTCGCAAGGCACTCTTTACATTTTCAAAGACAAATTTAACATGCATTTGCATAGGCTTATATTCTGTATGGGTGAGGTGGTACAGGACGTGCCTGAGATGAACAAGTGGATGAAACATTATGGGTATTAATAGGCTATTGCATGCATGAACATAAGCAGCTTATCTTCTTGCTGCTACTATCTCATTATGGATATTATTAGGCCATTAAATCCCTATGTTCTTGCTTCTACTGTCTCTGTGTTGGTTCGGGGTCTTGAAGTGGGTACACTGTAATTATGTGTTAACTGGTTGTTGATTGCTGGTCTGGACTTTTTGATGTGTAGTGCCTCGCTGATGTCGAGCCTTCTGGTGTTGTTATAGCTGTTGATTATGTCAGTGTTGCTTGTTAAGATGTCTCTGGTGATGGTCTGGTAGTGTGAGGAGAGTATATTGTTACGGTTATCTCCCGCATAGCTGTAGATTCTGTCTGTTCCTTACGACCTCAACATCAGTATGTTCCAACATCAAGAAACATCAACAATACTTGCCAAAACGTATTGTCCCGTCTCCCCCCCCCCCCCACACACCTTCCACGAGACACACCTGCCGTCTCCCCAGACATCAGACAAACTATCATAACGGTCGTTACACTGTCGGTTCCTCGTCAAGACTCCGATTCGCGCCAGTGCGACGTCACCACCTGTATATATATCCAGGCCGGTGGCTTAATTAGTCAGAAACCATCTGGTGGTCCCAGCTGGCCTGTGGCTGCCCTTACCTGCACGGTCCCACGACCCGCTGACGGCTGCCATTCACACCACATTGTATAGTCATATTTCACCTTTTGTCAGTAATGTAACTTCACTTGTATAGATTTTTCTGTTGATTGTGTTTTAGCCAAGTGATCAAGGGGTTTTTTGGTCTTTTATTATTCATTATTTATTTTCATTTGTAGAAGTAAATTTGTATTAATTTTTGTTATCATTAAATATTGTAAAATGTTTATTCTTTTGTTCTTAACTCGCAGTTTCCTTCTTGAGGTTATCTTGAGATGATTTCGGGGCTTTTTAGTGTCCCCGCGGCCCGGTCCTCGACCAGGCCTCCACCCCCAGGAAACAGCCCGTGACAGCTGACTAACACCCAGGTACCTATTTACTGCTAGGTAACAGAGGCATAGGGTGAAAGAAACCCTGCCCATTGTTTCTCGCCGGCGCCTGGGATCGAACCCAGGACCACAGGATCACAAATCCAGCGTGCTGTCCGCTCGGCCGACCGGCTCCCTACAGCTTCCGCACAGTAAAGGTACCTCCAGATTTATTTAATTTTGTTTTCTCTATTTTTAATTAATGTGCGTTTGTGAGGACACAAGACCTGCCAGAATGGTTACTGCGCTGTTCCAGCTTACGTCACAATGTGTTCCTTGATGGAGCCGTGTTGCTTGTGCGTTGTTACTCGTCAGTGAGTGGCGGAGGGAAACAGACAACGGGGAAACGGAAGGTATTATTTTTCGTTATTTCTGATCCACTTTCATGTACGTTGGCAGGTCAGCATATTCTTCTCACAACCAAATGGTCCCGGGTTCGATTCTCTGGTATATATATATATATATATATATATATATATATATATATATATATATATATATATATATATATATATATATATATATATATATATATTAGTATATTTTGGTAGCAGTCTTTCCTGTAGACATATATTATTAAATATGACCGAAAAAGTAAGATTAATAATTCTAACACGAATTTTCTCAATCTTTCGTACATTACGCTTCACTGTTGGAGGTAAATAAAAAATCAATTCTCCAAAATTCATTTTTATTTCTAGTCTGACGCGACACGGGCGCGTTTCGTAAAACTTATTACATTTTCAAAGACTTTAGTTCACAAATACACAACTGAATAGAACTTACGTATCTCCGATTTTATATCTACATTTGAGTGAGGTGGAAGGGGGTGATGTGGCATTAACATAAGACAGAACAAAATGTGGTATTAATAGGGTATTAATTTCATCAACACAAGACAGAACAAGAGTATTAATAGGGTATTAATTTCATCAACACAAGACAGAACACGAAGCAATGGATATTGAATAGAAGTGTTTGTAGAAAGCCTATTGGTCCATATTTCTTGATGCTTCTATATTGGAGTGGAGTCTTGAGGTGGGTAGAATATAGTTGTGCAATAATTGGCTGTTGATTGCTGGTGTTGACTTCTTGATGTGTAGTGCCTCGCAAACGTCAAGCCGCCTGCTATCGCTGTATCTATCGATGATTTCTGTGTTGTTTACTAGGATTTCTCTGGCGATGGTTTGGTTGTGGGAAGAGATTATATGTTCCTTAATGGAGCCCTGTTGCTTATGCATCGTTAAACGCCTAGAAAGAGATGTTGTTGTCTTGCCTATATACTGGGTTTTTTGGAGCTTACAGTCCCCAAGTGGGCATTTGAAGGCATAGACGACGTTAGTCTCTTTTAAAGCGTTCTGTTTTGTGTCTGGAGAGTTTCTCATGAGTAGGCTGGCCGTTTTTCTGGTTTTATAGTAAATCGTCAGTTGTATCCTCTGATTTTTGTCTGTAGGGATAACGTTTCTATTAACAATATCTTTCAGGACCCTTCCTCCGTTTTATGAGCTGTGGAAAAGAAGTTCCTGTAAAATAGTCTAATAGGGGGTATAGGTGTTGTGTTAGTTGTCTCTTCAGAGGTTGCATGGCTTTTCACTTTCCTTCTTATGATGTCTTCGACGAAACCATTGGAGAAGCCGTTATTGACTAGGACCTGCCTTACCCTACAGAGTTCTTCGTCGACTTGCTTCCATTCTGAGCTGTGGCTGAGAGCACGGTCGACATATGCGTTAACAACACTCCTCTTGTACCTGTCTGGGCAGTCGCTGTTGGCATTCTAGATGCACATTCCTATGTTTGTTTCCTTACTGCAGTCTACGCTAAGGAAACAAACATAGGAATGTGCCTAAATGCCAACAGCGACTGCCCAGACAGGTACAAGAGGAGTGTTGTTAACGCATATGTCGACCGTGCTCTCACCCACAGCTCAGAATGGAAGCAAGTCGACGAAGAACTCTGTAGGGTAAGGCAGGTCCTAGTCAATAACGGCTTCTCCAATGGTTTCGTCGAAGACATCATAAGAAGGAAAGTGAAAAGCCATGCAACCTCTGAAGAGACAACTAACACAACACCTATACCCCCTATTAGACTATTTTACAGGAACTTCTTTTCCACAGCTCATAAAACGGAGGAAAGGGTCCTGAAAGATATTGTTAATAGAAACGTTATCCCTACAGACAAAAATCAGAGGATACAACTGACGATTTACTATAAAACCAGAAAAACGGCCAGCCTACTCATGAGAAACTCTCCAGACACAAAACAGAACGCTTTAAAAGAGACTAACGTCGTCTATGCCTTCAAATGCCCACTTGGGGACTGT